ATTCTTAGGAGTAACCCATTCATCATCAGATTGTAACTCATCAACAAGCAAAGGGTCAATTTCATTCTCAATATTTCCTTGATTCTGCAATTTGAGATGTCTATCTTTCAGTTTTTTATTAAACATAACATAAACTAGTTTGTTCATTCGATCTGCCGCCAATCGATTTCTTCTCTTTGTATGAATTTGATTGAAGATGCTCCAATTACGCTCGCATGCAGAAGCCGAACACGTTAGGCTAAAAACTTTAACTGCAAAAGCTTTCAATTCAGGAACATCATCTCCAAACTGAGCCCACCAACGTTCTACATGAAGACAAACATAGTATTTTATGAATATTGGTTGAAGTACAAGAGTTGAACATAAATATTAACATTAAAATTATAAATACACAAATTATAAACATACCAGGAGATCGTGTTTTGAAGCATGCTTGTGCTGCTCTAAATCCAAACATTCCCTTCTTCAAATGAAAATCCTCAAGTTGATCATTAACTTTGAGGTAGTTTTCTTCAGAAATGAGTCTATCCATACATGCATACAAACCAGTTTTCACCTCTTTGTCAACATGAAAAATCTTTATCATAATGAAATTGGGGATTTAAATAGTACGCAGCAGCATGTAAGTGTTGGTGTAATTGTCGATCCCACTTTTCATCTATAATATCCCATATTTCTTTCGAAACCATTATTGCTTTCGGCTTCGTTTCCTGCGTCGTCTCCTTCCGACTTCGTCTCCTGCACTCACGGCTTCGTCTCCTTCCCTCACAGCTTCGTCTCTTTCCCTCACGGCTTCGCCTCTAGTTCGCCTTTCAATTCTCATAGGAAGCCCTAATCCTATACGCGAACACGAATCGACTGCATCGTATTTACATATATACCGAAGAAAAAATTTTGAAGCGGTGCCTCGTACTGCCTCGAGGCGTTACGCTCTAATGCGTACGCCTTACCGAATAAAAAATTTCGAGGCGGTGCCTCGTACTGCCTCGAGGCGTTACGCTCTGATGTGTACGTCTCCTGCGAAAAAATCGTAAGCTTCGCTGGATGGTTCGAGACGTAAGCCCCGATACGCATGACTTCCGCCTCGACTTGAGGCGCGACTCAATGCGGACGCCTTGTCCGCTTTTTTAATGGTTGGTTATGATTACCTCAAAGAGGGAAGAAAATGAGACTTGACAAAAGACACGGGTTTCAAGGCCTTATTAATCCAAACGGAAAATCTAGCATGTACAATGGTTTTATACATTAATTAGTATCTTTTTATGTTTGCCAGAACCCATAACAAGTATCAGTTTCACCTACACTAAATCATCCTATACATTCCTTCCATTATGATTACATCCATTTATGATCATTTACTTTTTCTTTTTCCCTTGTTTTAATCATTAACATTATGATGAAAGTCATAGTGGTGCACTCATAACAACAGCTGTTAAGGCATAGCCAATAGCATATAGAAAACTGAAAGAAATAGGCACCAGAACCAAGTTATTACATATCCCATAGCCGGATAGAATAATATAAGACAGCAATAAAATGGAAAACCATTCTGCATAATCATACATTGATACTGCTATATAACACTAAAATTCACAATCAAACTAAAAAGAAAAGCAGAAAAACTGCAAAAAAAAAAAGCCAAAGAAAAAGTTCAACACTGAAGAACATTGATAGCAAAAAAAATGGTAAAAAAGAAAATTAAGGAACATAGGGCGTAGACATACTACAAGAATAAAAGCTTGAAAAGTGTTATATGATACTTGCTTAGAAGAAAAAAATTGCAAATACCTTGGCTTCCCGCAGCTGCTGCAGCTCGAGCCCTCTTCTCCGCATTAGCTACCTCTGCACGTAGCTTTTCTACCTCCCGTGCCATCAGAATTAAATTTTTCTCCATCACCTGACCTTGCTCATAATTCTCAGCATATCCTTTCTTCTCATATTCTATAGCAGACCTTTACATCAAAACAAGCTTTAAGCTTAACCTCCACAATAAATGTAAATTATTTTAAAAGTAGACTACACTTCCCATATTTAAACAAAGAAATATATAAATCACCTTTACACTTATCATATGTCTAGTTTTTATGGTTAACCTCAGGAAAATTATAATTTTTCGTATTCTAATGAAATTATATGTGACAGATAACACAACACCACAATAGATAATCGGAATGGCATTTCCATTTCTATAGTAGCATTGAAAACGCAAAAGTAATAGCGAAAATATACCTAGCATGCTGCACTTCCTGCTTCATGGCTTCAATTTCAGCCTTAATTGCAGGCGCTTGCTGCAATTCAGCTGAAGATCTAGACAGGTCCTGTGTCAGCATCTGAACTTGCGAGGAAAGATCATGCCTGGATGCATTAAGCTTCTGTATGTCCCCACGAACCTGTATGAGATCCTCCTTAATGGCATCAGCAGCCAGAAGTTCTGCCTCCATCTTCATTGACTTTTCATTAACCTTTTCATTCACATAAAGGAAGATAGCTGAGTGTTATCACAACTCTAGAAATTCCATGAAGTAATTAAAATAATCTTCAACTTAAATGCAATATAATAATTGGTTTACAAGTCTAGTTACTCCTTAGACAAGCCTATAAAAATAAAAACAATTAAATGTCTGGGAAAGCAGAACTAGTCACTCTTATTTAAGGCATTTAGTCAAAGTCTTAAGGAATTAAAATTTTTAACACTCCTCTAATCTTCCACTTTTTTATTCATTTATTGAAGCTTAATTTTCTTTACGCAAACCTCTTCCTGTAATTTTTCTTACATTTTAATTATTGGAATTGATAACTGGAGCTTATTCTGCAGTCTTTCATTTGACGAAGTGAAAGCAATTTAGAATAATAAGAGAGAAGCTATCCCTAGTAAACACCAATAGACGAAAGAGATGGATGAAGACAGAGGGAGAAAGAGAAAAAGATAAACAATCTATTGACTATTGTTTTCTTTTTTTCAAGTTTCAAATCCATCTTCCAAAGAATATATGACCCGGTAATCCAGCATTATATTAATTATAGATTCCTTCTCTCACTCTTCAAATCTAAAAAGAAAAGATCCCCAAAATCAAGAGAAAATAAGAAGACTCCTTGATTTAAAGTTATCCAAATATTGGCTACCCAGTTTTTGTGATGGGCACAACAGCTAAGGCGATGTGGGAGTGACGAAGGAAAAGTGGGCAATAATGAAGCACGAAAACAAACACAAGACACACACAATATATAACTGTGAAAAATAGGACATAACACATCATGGGCACATATTTTTCTTTTATAAATGTTGAATATAAAATGTGTAATAAAAACACCTAATGACAATATCTTTAAATAAAAAAGTATCACATAATTAAGCATAATATCATACATATTGCATAAAAGCTTTCCGTGCAATAAAAGTAAATATTAGTTCAATTATAATTAAATTTAAATATTTTACCAAATACACTTAATTCTCAACAACACACCACCATTAGCATTAATTATCAAACGTGCTTTTGCCATATCAACATCGAATAATCCATATAAAATAATAAAAATCAAAAGAGTATATAATCTTCGAATAACCACAAAAAAATTATGAACATGTTGATGTATCACTAATTGACCCAAACTCCCAAAGCATAAGGGATGGTGATCAGCATCCTCCGAATAACACCGATGTCCTCTTCAATAGAACATTCGCCAACATCAAGAAAATATAGTTTGTAAGGTTGACTCGTAAAAACAAACATATTTCATCATCATCCCATGCCACTTCTCCACATAAGTGTCAAGGTATGTATCAACCCTATCAGGGCATATTCCAATCATATCCGACTCTAATTTCAGTATAAATACATCACATGATTTCAACATACCAACAACATTTTGGAGCGCATTCATACCATGTTGAAAACGAAAGATTTTGAAGTGTTTAAGTTTCAGAAGTGGGTGAGCAAATGTGGACAAGGACACATGATAGTAAAAATGGATAAACTTTCAATTCTGCACAGCTCAAGTGACCTATTGCCTAATTTATCATATGTTTTGTCCAAACCTCTTTTTTTCATAACAAAATGATGTTTTTGTTTGATGTATCTCTCTTGTTCCGTACATTATGTTCATTAGTCAGCCTTTGTTGAAAAGCTTGCTTTTTTGCTTTGAACGATTTCACATAAACTTTCTTATTCATTTGAAAAAGACATAATTTTATCCCTTTCTCAAGCGGAATGCCTCAATCACACTTAGAATTCTATTAATGGCCTATATGGTATAATCAATCAGATAGACATAGGGGTTAGCTCAGTTAGCAAAGATTCACATTTGCAATTGGGTCAAAAGTTCCTGCTACTGATTGTATAGAACTTCAATATATAGGTCATGACTAATAAAGAGGCTTTTTAACAGACTTTCTACTAGAAAAATATTTTATGAAATATACCAAATGCTAAATGCAAATACGGAAGATAGATCGATAAGAACATGAGCAATCTTTCCTACTTTCATATTCAAATCCCATGGATTTTTTTTTTAATTTGATCATTTTGTGCAATATGCCTGATTTATTGTAGCATGTCAAATGTTATGAGTTCACGTTGTTGGTTGGAGATCAAATAAAAATTAACCCGAATTAAGCCCAAGTCAAATAAAATGCATAACGAAGAATCTTTCTCAGCGACAAAAACATCCACCAATATTTTTGGATTCCAGAGAAAAGGAAGGCTAAGGTTAAGCTCCCAAAGGCTTAAGTTTATTAACCAATTAGATTTATGATGGACTAGCCGGTTTGATTGGGAAGGAATTAAGAAGTTTCCTCATCAAACATATTTGTTTAGGAAGGTTCTTAATCAAGGGGATTAATTAGGAGAGATTTTCTAATTAAAGTGAGCATATTTGGGAGCTGATTTGGAGGGGATTAATTAGGAAATGTTTCATAATTGAAGAGAGTTAATTTTGGGGCTGATTTGGAGGGGATTGATTGGGTGCTGATTTGGAAGGCAAGATTCCAAAGTCTCAGTAGTTTCTCAATCTCAAGTGAACAAGAATTCAATGATCACACCTATGGAGAATCTGGTTACTGTCAGCTCAACATTATCGGTTACATTGACAGATGACATGGAGTTGATTTTGAAGCTACTTCCAAAGAGAGGAAAGAGTGAATAAGTGAGACTTTTGATGGAGCTGCAAGTTTAGAAGACAAAGAAGATGGGGAGAAGATAGAATCACCATACATGGTTCAGCCACTCCTACAGTAGTATCGAGAGGTGTTCCAACCAGTTTAGGAATTGCCTCCTCAGCGAGAACGCAAGCATATTATCATCTTGAAGGAAGTAGCCTCACATATCAGTGTATGTCTGTACCATTATCCCCAAATCCATAAGGATGAGATCGAGAAATTGATCAGGTAAGGTTCACTCGACCCAGTGTTAGTCTATTTTTTAGTTTAGTGCTATTAGTCAAGTGCTTCAACAGCAGTTTTCTTCGTTCCGCCTTAAGTACAATGTAGCACATTGGAAGGGGAGTATTGATGGGCTAGCCGATTTGATTGGAATGGAATTATAAAGTTTCATAATTAAGAGGGAGTTGTTTAGGAAGGTTGTTAATCAAAGAGATTAATTAGCATATGCTTCCAAATTGAAGAGAGCATATTTGGGGGCTGATTTAGGTAGGATTAATTAAAAAGAGCTTATTTGGGGGTTGATTTGGAGGGGATTAATTATGAAATATTTTCTAATTGATGATGGCAGATTTAAGGGCTAATTTGGAGGGGATTAATTAGAGAATGTTTTCTAGTTTAAGATGATAGATTTGGGGGCTAATTTGAGGGCTAATTTCGAAGGAAAATAATTAAGAAAATAGGAGGGAATTGTTGTTTATTATTTACTTTAAGTAGGTAATTTTCCTCCGGGTTAAGGATATGTATCATTTGCTGAATTTGGATTGTTCTTGCAGCGTTTGGGCTCTAGCAGGCAGCTAGAGATTTGGGAGAGCCAGATCTTCCACTCCAATTGAAAATCCATTTCTATCTTGTCTTTTCTTCCATGAAACTTTCAATAAAAGTGTTCTAATATTGTTGAAATCAGATTCAACCAAGGCTTATCCGAAATTTCTGCAAGCACTTCCTATCAATTTATTGCCTCCCTACAAAGAACATCATCATACATGGTCCCCATTGCTCAGTGCTTCGTGCAATCACCATCCTCGTTCTTCTTCCTCATGGAAATCAATGTCAATTCCCTTATCCTTTGTTCATTGTCATTGATGTCCTTCATTATCATCAGTGCCTTTCATCCTCGTCTGCATCATAATCATTCACCAAAGGTTTTTCATCATTTGAGTCCACGTTACAATTATCAACCATGATGAATCGACTCTTTATAACATAAAATTATGTAGTATTCAACCAAGGTAGGATACGACAACCGTCTCACACGTGCCTGAAACTCCTACATTGCATCCTATCGAAAATAAATAAATAAACGACACATGTATCTAACATGTGTAGCGTGAGTTAAGTTAAATGGTGATGGTGGGAATGGAGCATTTATAAAGAATAGAAGAATCATAAGTATTTTAGTTTGAAATAAACAAATGATATGACTTTAACAATTGATATATTTAAAATGCCTCTTTTCACAATGTTTATTTTTTTTCTTTATTAAACAAATATTACGATTATATAAATTCGATCATATGCATTTTATATTTATTTATTTTTTCAACTAATATATATAGCTACAAAAAAAGTATTTTTTCTATTAAACATAAAAACATATATATATATATATATATATATATATATATGTTTGTTTGTGTGTGTATGTATGTATACATACAACTGTCCAATACCTGTATGTGTCATATATTTTAAAAATCAACATATTCTATGCTAGTTTCTTATCATGATGGTGACCCTATGTCAAGATCGATACATCATAGATTGTTAAATGATGATATATTCTTCATGATGCCTCATTTTTCTTGTTGGCCATCTCTATTAATGATGTATTCCTTGTCAAAGTCATAGTCGTCATCATGCTTGACGATGTAGACATCATAACTACATTGCTATCATCAACGCCCCAATCACCAAATTTATTTTATGTATTAACTAAAGTTGATAATGGATAATACTAATTGATGACTGTTATTGTTATCCAATTAACACCACAGTTAATTATGTACAAAGTAAAGCTAGCTAACATTAATTATTCATAATTAAATAAATTTCATTAGTAGCTTATTAAAAGAAAGCATATTATATGGTATACTTCTGATCTACAAGCTTAATTAGCAAACATAAGTGAGAAAAATCTTTCATATCTTCAATAAATAATTTTTAGCTTGTATAAACTTAACTTTTAGACTCTTAACAAGACACAATGAAAAAATTGGATTCATGTATCCGACCCCATATAGCGGAATTAAGGCTTGATGTTGTTGTTGTCCTTGTTGTTCTATCAACTTAACTTTTTGGCCAACTAGACTACCCACATGATGAACTAATTCTACCAATGTAATATATAGTGAAAAATCCAATACATAAATGCATTTTAAGTGGTGGTGCGTTTTCCATATGAGCTAGGCCCATCCCCGTAGGACCGATCATCGGGAATCAACCAATCCAAACAATCATGCTTTTGGACTACATAATCAAAATATCTTATTAGATTGATTTAAACTTTGATGAAAAGTGTGAGAATGCATTTTTTTCCTCATATATCCTATTGAGAAAAAAGTATTAAACCTTTTGAAGAAATAGAATTCTTCTTTTTCATTTCCAATGCCCACGAGAAGGAATCCTAGCAACAATGTGAAATGAAACACGGTTTCAAGAAAACTTGATTGTTGGCTAGCCTTTGCAAACTTCAATGCTTTCAAAGACTTCGCTTATGCGCTTACTCCTGTACTAGATTAACATTTTCAAGTAAACTCTTACCATGGGCAAAATCTCCTTCATGTGGCAATAATATGTCTAGTAGTCTACATAGGCAACCTATCGTACTTAAATAGCTAAGATAAGACCTTCCCTCACTTAGCCTATCTAAATAGGCAAGCAAGCAGGCCTCTCTTAAGCATCTCACATGGCTATCCTCCTCTACCTAATACAACACAAAAAATCATAACAAGCCGTTGGCATTCAGATACCACGACATATAAATGTTGCCCAATTTAAATGTTAGAAAAAAGGTCGCCAACAATTACCCGCTCAACATTTGAAATTGTCTACAAATCAAACAGCATATATTCATTTATAACACAAGCACAACATTATTATAGAACAAACAGCAGGTGTAAGAGAGTCAACACATCTAAAATAAACAATGGAAAGGGAGAGCGATACCTCCCAAAACTCGGCATCCCGCTCAGCTTGTAGAGCCCCGGCGGCATGAGATGCCCGCTGGAGCTCGTGTTGTACAGCAGCGAGCTCCTGCTTGAGCGCGACGTGGGTGGCCGCCAGGCGCTGGTTGTCGACAAGCAAGCTCTGGATCTCGTGATTCTGCGCAATGAGACGCTCATCAATCAGCGACGAGGGGAACGACTGCGGCCCCGGCCCGCGAACACTGCCGGCAAAGGGAGGGAAGACGTCGCGCATCTCGTCGAGGAAAGCAGGGTGACGATGGTGCGGGTGAGGAACCGGGACGATGCCGCCAGCAAAGGGAGGAGGCGGCGAATGGAGAGATGGAGGAGGGCCTTTCAAGCCGTGAGGACCCTGGCGATTCCGACTCGACATGGCGAAGAGCAAGAGGACGCAGAAACCCTAGGGGTCACAGAAGATTTGTGTTGTGAGAACGCGCAAACCTGACGGAAACTTGTATTTACCTCTTATATTAAATTTTGTGGTGGTAAATTTGGTGTGGTATGCACCTCATAGCATACAAGTGGTTGAAAATTTTATCAACTGGTTGAAAATTTTATTGGTGGGCAATTACAGTTAAGAAGCTAATTTGGTGGGCAATTACGGTTAAGAATCCTTCAATTCAGGCTCAATTCTCTTTGAGGGATAGCACCTCTTAAGTGGACCGAATCAAGTGCGAGCCGGAAAGTTTTTGAGTTGGTGTGGAGGATTAGTCATACCGCCAAGCATTGTTTTGGGTGGCAGTGGGTGGATACTCGTTACAAAAGAAACAATTATTTTTTTTAACACATTGATAGTTCATTTTAAAAGAAACTTTTTTTATTTTTCAAACACTGCTTACTGGAAGATCTTATGTACGAAATTAGTTTAAATTAGTTTCAATGTTTCTAATTTGAATATTTAATTAAATTTATTTCTAAATCAAAGTTCGGTTGACACTGCTTACTGGAAGATCTTACGAATGAAATTAGTTTAAATTAGTTTCAAATCTTTCTAATTTGAATATTTAATTAAATTTAATTCTAAATCAAAGTTCGGTTGTAATTTGAACCTGATTCGAATCAAATTGGAACCTACACAGATCTACCCTTAAATGTTTTCCCTAATGCGCTTCACCAACAAACTTTCACTTGCATTAATGTCTTCACCGAACTTTATGTATTCCTCAATATGTTATGCAAACTCTTCTTTTTCATATGTTGCCACTCACGCTGATGATGGCAAACACATACAAGCTACTAGTCCCTTCTATGCCTACCCCCAACAAGCTCACATTTACATTACAAATTAGATTCGAGCCTGATGTGTGTTGAGGTCGAAATTGAGATTCAACCTATGTATGAATTCAAATTGGCTCCAACATATTTCAAATAACTCATACCCTTTAGCAATCAATGAATCCAAAAAGTTACCCGTCATTATACGTAACTTGTCCAAAATGAATTTTTAGGTACATTTCTCGATGAAAATAAATTGTGGTGATATATTTCTGGTCGCATGTAATATGAACCCTATAAATTTAGCATTCTCTTTTATATTTGTGATTATACAAAACTATTAATGAAAAAATTTAACATAAATGTTAATATAAAAGTACTAATTATTTTTAATAAAGGAAAACTTAAAAAATGTTATAAATTTTGATATGCTCATGGGAGAAGAGAGAAAAGGAGATAGATGTTTAGATTTTAGTGTTCAAAGTATTAATATTTTGGCCCAAATATAACATTATATCATGCGACAACAATTTATACTAGAGGGCGAATGCTAGTAATTCAAAATGGGCTACATAAGACATTAATAAAATAAATTAACTAGTTGATACCATGTAGGAGTTTAATCTAAATAAACAGCACCTACTAGGCGAAAATTTAGGATAAATTTATAATGGGACAATGCACAATGCTTTTGATGAGTCCTCCAAATAAGAACCCCTTATTAATAGAGTCTAAATAAGGAGTCAAGTTATGTGGTTGAATAGATTTGATGAGTAAATAACTTATAAGTCGCTTACATGAGTTCATTTTCTTTGTGCTAAAGATCAAATAGAGTTTTTTTAAGGTTACTCAACAAGTATGAGGTTATAAGCAAAATGGTATTTTTGTGAATAGTAGATTATTAAGAATATTTTTTCTTATAATTGGATAAGAATTTAATACAACAAAATAGTCATAAATTATGAAAATAACTTTCTTGTTGAAGTAAGAGGAGTTCTAAGACATTGGAGTAATCTTCAAGAGATCCTCAGTAATATGCTCAATCATTCTCCTAATAAGAGAGGATGCTAGAGATAAAGAAGACAAAAAAAGCTTAGTGTCATTGCTTGGCATTAGCATTAGTATAAGTGTAACTGTTGGCATCAACATTAATTGTGATGGCAAGTGATGACCTTGTTGGCAATCATGAGGAATGAGGTTTATATTGACGACATATATTAGCCTTTATATTGATAACATGCATTAACATTGGCATCAAAAGCATGCATATATTATATTGGTGGAGAGGGTGTTGATGTTATTGTTTATGATGGGCATCAAATGATAACATTCTTGGTAATGAACAATATCATTAGTCTTGCAATGGTGGTTAACAGCATTGTCTGCATCAACTAGCACCAATATTGTTGGCAACAACAGATGCTAAAGTTAATGGCTATTGATGTTTGTGCTAATGACGTCCATTAACCTTATTGGTGATGGCAAGCATCGATGTCAATGGCACTAGTGGATGGTAACCCTATTGGTGCTAATTAACATTAGTATTGGTGTCGACATGCACATCAATATTATTAACATTGACAGACATCAAGATAGGTGGCATGATGGATAATGACATTTTGTTGGCATTAATGTGTGTCGGCATTGGTATTGACACATCCCATCGATCTTATTAGTATTGACATATATCAATGTTAGTGACAACGAAGTATGACAACCTTATTGGCGTTACCAAGCATAAGTGGGTGTGTAGATGGTGTGTGTTAACCTTATTGGTGATGACATATGCTGATGTTGGTATCGACGACCGACATCACTATTATTTGTGATATGAGCGTCAATGTTGTTATCAGTGAAAAACATCAACCTTAATTAGGTGTTAAGGGCTTAATGTGGTTGGCCAATACATCATTAGTGTTGATGGTGATGAGACGATAGTCTGGTCACAATGATCATTGGAGAAAATTATCAAACAAGAGAGCTTTAGGATTGTTTAAAATTGTGAACTTTCTCCAAATTCAAGTCTTTTTTTATTAGCAAAATGGAGTTTATTTTAAGTTTTTTCAATAATATTTCGGTTATTTTTGTCAAAATCTTCAAATACTCCCTCGGTTGACCTATGATGATCTCATTTACTATATTAGATTTGTAATGCATTTAAGCACCTTAACTACATCAAAATTGATCAATTTTAAGCACACTGGGTTATTCTCATTGAGACGCTTATTCTTACTTCAAACATATGATACTAAAAAATCATTTGATTCTCCAATTGTATCATAAAATTCATAATTATACTTTGAGTGCTTGATTTAAGATAGTCCCAATCTAGTGCTGTATTTTTCAAGATTTGCACCTAATCATGTGAATTTTTAGATGATATTGATACTAGGAATGCCCAGAGATGGAACCTACAACCTTAACTTGAAGGTGATTTAAAAGAAAGTCTTATGACCTTTGTCCTTTAAGCATGATGACCCAGTATTTGGGGAAGGCTTGCAAAGCTTTTGCCTTGCTGTCACATTTTCTTTCCCTCTCTCTCTCTCTCTCTCTCTCTCTCTCTCTCTCTCTCTCCCTCTTTCTCATTTCATTCCTCTCTCTCTATATATATATCTTAAAGTTGCTGATCTCATCTTGGAAGACAAGAGCTGGGATAGGCCGAAGCTTTTATCTTGCTTTGGGGACCTCCTGGTGGACATCATTTGTGAGATTGGTATTGAGGTGGGGGCTGGTTCCGACCGCTTAGAGTTGATGAAGAGCCCGTTGGGATCGGCGATCTCGGCTATGGTTTACAACAAGATGTTCGAGGGGGAGGATGATCCAATTTGCATGATCCTGAGGCTTGGTCTGCGGCCTCGGTTGAGACTTTTCTGGTGGAGAGTGTACTTGTGTAAGATTCCCACGAACGAGTGGCTAAGTGGGCGGGGACTGCAGGCGGATTTGTTTTGCCCACTTGACTATCATGAGGTGGAAGATTTTGATCATGTTACAACCAACTGCACTCGATTGCATGCTATCCTTAATGTTCTAGAGTCATGGGGTTTCTGCACTCCACAGTTCCATTCTGTCCACGAGCTTCAGGCCACGTTCTTGGGGAAGGCGGACTCAAGGGATGGGTGGATGCGGCTCTACTGTACCGCGGTCCATCATAATTGGATGAACCGGTGTTCGTGTAAGCATGGGAATAACTCCCTCTCCCATATTTATATGGCTGCCGAGATTATTGAGGGTCTTAATCAAGAACTGTTTTCATGTCACCTGGAGCAACGGGACCCTTTTCCGTCCACTGGATTGTCTTCTACTTTTCTTGGTGTCCCCCCCTACTGGCTGGCTAAAGATTAACTTGGATGGGGCCTTGAGATGCTCGAATGAGGGGGTGTTGGTATTGTCATTCGGGATAGTGCTGGGGACCCTATCACTGCGGCCGGTTGGAGTCTCACGCACTGGGATAGCACGCATGTCGAGCTTATTGCAGTCAACTATATTGGTAGTCTTCTCCAAGACTGGATGTTGGAAGCGAAGAGAATTATTATCGAGGGGGATAATGCTAGTGTTATCCATTTCATGCAGAATTTTAAGTACAGGGAGTTATGGAAAGAGCAATTTGCCCGGTGTGAGGAGTTAGACTGGGTTAGGATGGTTAATAAGGTTTTGTTCCTACACACATACAAAAAGTTTAATAGGGCAGACCATTTTTTTGCTGAGCAGTCTGTCAAAGGTTCTTTTGTATAGTGGGGTTAGATCAAAAAGTTGTATTCCTCAAGGTTTTGTTGATATCCTTGAGAATGATAGGAGTTTCTGCTTTTTTGAGGGGCCGGCTGGCTCTTAGGTCTGGTTCCCTTTTGTTTGCTCTTGTAACACTTTAGCTTTTTTATAAATGCAAATGAAAATGTTTAGCTCTCTCTCTCTTTCTCTCTCCCCCTCTTCTTCCCCTGTCTCTCCCCCTCTTCTCTCTCTCTCTCTATCTTTCCATTCCTCTACCGCCTCTCTCTCTCTCTCACTCTCTCCTTTCCTCTATTACTTCTATCTCCCTCTTTCTCTCTCTCTCTCTCTCGCTCTCGCTTTCTCTCTCTCTCCCTCTCTCTCTCTTCCTCTCTCTCTCTCTCTTTCTCTCTCTCTCTCTTTCTCTCTCTCTCTCACTCTCACACTCGCTCTTTCTTTCCATTCCTCTATTGCCTCTCACTCTCTCTTTCCATTCCTCTATTACTTCTCTTTCTCTCTTTCTATCTATCTCTCTCTCTCTC